GTTTTTTTGAATTAGACCATTACATCCAGTGTTGTCTGAACAGCAAACCCGCTCATCCCTGCTTGACTCACTGCCTGGCCAGTGTAACTTCTGCTAAGCTTTATTTTCTGATACTGGTTTGGTCTCCCAACCCCCTAAGATTTGCTAGGCCTCACACTTTTCTTTACATGTAAAAAGGGAATTAGCTTGTCTTCAGTACTGCAGATGACTAAGTGGACAGACTGCTGCAGGCAGGCACAGCAGCACACATGTCCACATAGAGGTCTCACTTCTCCCACCATCTAGCTTCATGCAGATATTCATATGGCTAAACAGAAGCTTATCAGATTAGCTGCCTAAACTAACCATATGCTGTTAAAAAAATAATGCCAGAGGCTAGTCTCACTCTCTCTTCCTGCCTCTGAAGAAGATGCAGAAGCAGTTCTGATGCAAGTTCTTATATATTACTTATAGAAGCAAACATACTGACACTGTTTAAACATTTTCAGACATTACCTGGAATATCCCAGCAGGTCTGTTGCTATTTTGCAGTCAATACATGAGGGGTACCTCTTTAGGAAATAGTCATAAAGCTGGAAATCATCCACCTCTGGAGTAAGCTCCCCAACAAATATTGAATAATCTGGTCTTTAAAAAAGTAAAAGAGAACCACAGTCAAGTTTGAGACTAACATAGCTCACTGCAGTATTAAAGTACCCAACATACAAGCACGACAGTTATCTTTGGACAGAGACAAAAATATGAACAGACTGCAAAACTCTGCTGAGTAATGAACAGAACTGCAATGCCATCACTCCAGCAAGGAATTCTTTGTTTCTCTGGGTCCATTCTACCACTTTTGCAAGAGAAAGCATTTTAACAAAGACCTGTATTTATTTAAAAAACTTTTTAGAAAGTAATATTCGGTGTCTGAAGGGCAGGGCACCCAAAAACATCAAGGAAAACTATTAAGTTAGAGCCACAATTCAAAAGAGACTATTTTGCCACCACTTCTGAAGTGATTATGGGGGAGACACTAGAAAAAAATCCTGATTATTCTACTGGCAAGACAATTCTATAAGCAATACTTAGAGTATTAGGTGTGCCATTTCAGGATTTTAAAGATAAGTGATGGTCTTCACTAGTCATCATCAATTTAAACAGGTAAGGGGTCAGAGCTTCTCCTTTCCAAAGGTCTTTACCTGGTTGTATTAGTACTACTAGGGACAAACTCTATTCTTCCTGGTTTTATTTTGTTCTTTTTCTTCCGTTTCTTCTGTGGTGTTCTCCACCAGCTGTATGCCTGGAGACATTCTCTTTTTTTCGCCATCAAGTCCTGTAGGGAGAAAAAAAATCACCTTTATAGTTTTTAGCCTCATTTACATTCCTCCCTCCCACTCCCCATCACCACAGGTGATTTCCCCATATTCACCTTGCCCTTGAAAGAAGCCTGGGGTCCCATTTCTCCCTCCGCCTCCCATGAGGGAAAGCAGCCTCTGGGGAAAACGCCTGGCAAAAATAACAGAGCCAAAGGATTGTATGAACAGCCATATTCCCCTGACTTGTCAAGCTGGCTAAAGGATTGACAGCTTCCTCTGGGAATTAGGGAAAAAGCAGATAGCCCTTTGATGCAGGCCAATCCTAAATGTTAATTAGCTTCAGGACTGGACTGTGTTCCGCTTGAGCTCCAGGACGCAAAAAATCCTGCCGCAGCACAGTCTGAGTGATGAGGAGGCAGGGAAATCGTCACTCTTCCAAAAGGGATCTCCGCTGTCCCTATCTTCCCCTCACCTAGGTAGGAATTCTTCTTCTGTGAGATGCCTCTCCTCACTACCCAGCAGTGAGTCACTCCCAGGCCAGGAACAACGACAAGAGGCCAATGAATGGAATGCAAGGAGAAAGCAGACCAGGAACAGGCACTAGCTTGGCTGAGGGAAAACTTGAACCCAGACGCAAGGCCAGGAAGAAAGAGGCATAAAAAAGTGCCTCTTACCAAAAAAAAAAAAAAAAAGGAAAAAAAGAAAACTAGAACCCCAAAAACCACAGTTCAAAAAAGGAAGTGAGTGGGGTAACTGCACAAAAAAGGAGAGGAAACAGCCATATTAAGACAGGTTGCCTCCCTCTCGAGATTCTGAAGAACAAGGACTTCCAAAAATGAGAATGACGTTCCACAACTTTTACTTACGCAGGTTTTATTGTTCTTCCTCTATAACACCTCTACATGTATCTTATATAGAGAGTGTTACACGCAAGGTCCTTCAGAAGAACTCACACTCAAATAATCCAAACTGCAAAACTTAAATGTTACGCCCCCAATCTGCTTCAGTTGACACAATTAAGTGTCCAGAGGACAGCCACCAATTACCACACTGCCGGAAGAAATCACAGGACTAAAAGAACACCCAACTCAGAGCAAGCTAGCTATTTCAGCTTTACATTTACTAGGAATTCTGAGTATGGTTCTGGAATCCATTTAGGCACTGCAAGCCTGTATTTCTGACCACATGATCTTACCTGGCTTGCCATGATTCAAACTGTCTTCTGTGTTTCTCAAACAGTATGGCTGCACAGATTCAGTTCACTCCTTCAGCTGGAAAAAGGACAGCGGACAAAAAGGATGAAGAATTTTATCCCTGAGATTAATTACTTCCAAATATGTTCACCCCACTGCATCCTTTGAATGGTATTAAGTCAGAGCTTAATTTTTTAAGTTCTAACTTGTCACTGCTAAAGCAATAGGTGTGAAAAGGATATATGGCCAATGGGATTATGATTAGAAGTAATTTTCACTGTCTTAAACTGCAACAGACCATAAAGTCTTCCCACTGTCCAAAGAACTAGAAAGTTACAGAGAACTTTTAAGTCACCTACACCTTACCCTTAATTCTGAAATACCTACAGATAATAACCCAGTAATTCAGAAGATTCTAAAGGTCAGAACAAGGCAACAAGACACAGGCTTCAGTATGTTTTGCAGAATTCCCCAGGTTTTTCCCCTTTTAGCTAAATTAGGAGTTGATTCACTTGTACCACAAACTACACAGCTGAAAACAAGCAGTGGTACTTCCTACATGCTAAATAATAGAAATAAAAGTAGGATGAGGGCACAGTACAGATAAACGTGATCTTTCTCTGCACCTTTTCTTAGGACTGTCTTCTCTGTTTTGCCTTTTTCATTTACACATTTCACTCCCTACCACTGAGTTAGCCAATAAATAACCTTTTACTGCTACCACTAAACCAGCAGACACTTTCCTGAAGAGGTATGTATCTTTGTTGATTCCAATATTCTTTCTTTAAGCTTTTTCCCCTAGTCATCTAGCAAACATAATTCAGTGCAAAAACCATTTTCATTTATAAAGTATTCTGCATTTACTTCCACACACAGCTGTTCATTCACCACTGCTGGTTTTTTTATAGCCAGTGTTGCTCCTTCGATGCAGATGCTTGATTGCTGAAGTTCTAATTTCTATTTCCATGCACAAATTTATGTTATGTTTTACATCCTGGCTGATCAAATCCACGTTCACATAATGCAATAAAAACAGAGCGTCCATAATGCCTTAAAGGCTTGCCCACAGAGGGGAGCAGTTCAGAGCACTGCTTCTGACATAGGATAGCCATAAGCCATAATTAGACCATCCAGGCATGGTACTATTCAAAATAACTATGGACTCTATCCCCACAGCCACTCTGGAGGCAACAAAACAGTCAAGTACCAACAAGCCCTTAAAACACAGTCTAGTCCTAGTGAGATTAGTATGTGGTAAATTGAAAATACACTTACTAAAAGTAACTGTGTTCATTATAATTATCAGCAGCAACATCTTTCTGTTAAAGATGGTCCTTACTAATACAAATATCCATAGAATGATGTTCCTCTAACTGGAACATTTCTGTTTAATAAGAGGAACTATGAACTTCCCAAGCTCGAACACTGAAATAAATAACTTTCAAATTCATGGCTGCACAGTACCTATTTTTAAACTTACCGCTTTTCACTCATGCAGATCTAGCAGAAGACGGGCACACACAGCAAGAGGCTGTCAGGAGGCACGTGATGCAACTGCTTCTCACCGACTTTTAAGCAAAACTGGATTTGTCCTCTTCCCCGTCCAATCTCGACGTCACCTCTTGATCTTTTCACTACGAAATAAAAACATTTTAAAAGCAGTTAAACCAGCATGTATAAACATCTCTTTTTTTTCCTTAACATTTGTCTTAACTGTAGCTAGCTTTCATTTAGGCAGTTGGGCAGCTTCAACCTGCAGCATTCAAACACGTGCTCAACTGGATTACACACGCATCATAGCAGCTTTTTGCTGTATTCCACTTTTTTTTTTTCCATTATTGCGTTTGTACGTGCAAAAAAGCGGGCGAAGCTATCGACAGGCAGAATCGGCGTGAACACCGCTCAGGCGGGCAGCGGCCCAGCCGCCCCCTTCCTGCGGCACTAATTTCGCTCACACGAGGCGCTGGGTCAGGGCAGGGGGCCGGGGGAAGCTCCCGGAGCCCCTCGGGCCGGCGCGATGACCCCGGCCGGGCCCAGGCCCGAGCCGTGACGCATTTCTCTAACTGAGCCACTCGGCACGACGGGAAGAGCCCGACCACAAGTGCGCCCCGCCCGGCCGCGGCCCTCAGCGAGCGGCCACACTGGCGCCGCCGCCGCGCTTCCCGCTCATTGTGCTACGCGATAAGAAAACGAACCGAAAAAAATACCGAAAAAACCCACCAACTATAAAACCACCCGACCGTATAAAAATGAAAGCCGGCGGGCCCAGCGCTGGGAAGATGGTTGGGGAGCCCGTTCTCTGGCGCCTCGGCCCAAGCGCCGCCGGGGCCTCCCCGCCCCACACGCCCTGAGGGAGGAGGCGGCGGCCCTGCGGCCCCGGGGGAAGGGAAAGGTCCAACCGCCCCTCCCCTCCCCTCCTCCCTAGCTCCCCGCAGATCGGTTCGCGCCCCTCTTTCCTCGCCAGCAGCCCCCGGTGCCGGTCCCCGCTCCCCCCCTCCCGATCCCGGCACTAACGCCTCTCGTCCTGCCCGCCGCCATCACCGCCCGCGCCAGCGCCGCTTCCGCCCCGCCAGGCCCCCCCCGCGCGGGCTGCCCCGCGCGCGGCCTGACCCCGCGCCCGTCCCCGCGGCGCTTCCCGCTCCGCGGCCGCTCCCGCGGGATTCTCCTCCTCACCCGAGGCGAGCGAGCGCCGCCGGGCACGCCACGCGCGGAGCCGGCGCGGAGCGGCGCAGGCAGCGCGGCGGGCGGGCGGGCGGAAGAGCCGTCAGGAAGCCCGGGGCGGCGCCGAGCGGCGGCGGATGGAGCTGGTGGCGGGGTGCTACGAGCAGGTGCTGCTGGGGTTCGCCACGCGGCCCGGGCAGGTAACGGGGACGGGGGAACTGGGGGAGGGGATGGACGCGAGCAGGGAGGAAGAGAGCCGGAAGGGAGGAGGAAGGTGCATAGAATCGCAGAATGGTGGTTTGTGTTGGAAAGGATCATGGAATTCGAACACCCCCACCACCTCCACCACCACCACCACTCCGGCCACAGGCCAGGATACCTTCCACGAGACCAGGCTGCTCAGAGCCCCATCCAGCCTGGCCTGGAACACTTCCGGAGAAGTGGGGAAGAACGGCGGGGGGGGGAGGGGGAATATATGAAGGAAAATCGCGGGAGGAATGGGGGGAAGTGGCCGCGCCCACCCCCGGCACTCACCGTCTCCCCCATCCGCGGCCGCGGTTCCGGCCGCCGCCGGGGCTCTTAAAGCGCGCTGCGGGGGCGGGGCGGCCCTCCCGCGGCCCCTCCCGACAGGCTCGGCCCCCTCGCTGCCCTAGAGGGTTCCCAGCAGCTGCGGGAAGCCTCCTCCGGGCTGCGGGAAGCCGCCTGCGTGCGGGGGGCTGCGGCGCGGGGCTGCTTCTTTCCACGCGGGGGTGAGGGCGAAGAGCTGCGCAGGGCATGGACGGGACGTGGTGTGGGGGCTGGTGCCCGGTGGGAGGCGTGTCTCCAGCCTGCCGTGGTGGAAAACCAGAGGGTCCGCCTCCCTTGGCCGTGAGATTTGTCTCTGTGCAGACGCTTTTTCACAGGCAGCTTCGTCTAAGCACGGCGCTGATTACAAGGGGCGGCTTGCACGCTTAAGTCCTTTGGACTAATCTCCTAACAGTACATTAACTCAGTAAGATCCCATTATGCTTAGGTGTAATTCCTCCCCCTGTACTTGGCACTGGTGTACAAGTACACAGCCACACCTCGAGTACTGTGTCCAGTTCTGGGCCCCTCAGTTCAGGAAATACACTGAGGTGCTGGAGCAGGTCCACAGATGGGCAATGAGCTGGTGGAGGGTCTGAAGCACAGGTCTGATCATGAGCAGCTGAGGGAGCTGGGGTTGTTTAGCATGGAGAAAAGGAGGCTCAGGGGTGACCTTATCACTCTCTACAACTACCTGAAAGGAGGTTTTTGCCAGGTGAGGGTCCGACTTCTATTCCTAGGCAACTAGCAGCAGGATGAGAGGACACAGTCTTAAGCTGCACTATAGGGGAAGTTTAGGTTGGACATCAGGAAGAATTTCTTCACAAGAAGGGTGATTAGACATTGGAATGGACTGCCAGGGAGGTGGTTGAGTCACCATCCCTGGAGGTGTTTAAAGAAAGACTGGACGTGGCACTTAGTGCCATAGTCTGTTGGTCGATGGTCTCAGTGGTGTTTTCCAACCTAATCGATTCTCTGATTCTGATTTTTGCACACAGACTCTTTCAGGTTTTTCTTTTACAAAATAAAATTATGGGACGATGAAGTGGAAGCTTACTATGGTAAGCTTCAGAAATACCTGTTTGTTTTGCATTTCATTTACAGTCCTGGACAATTGTCCCTGATTTTACACATCATGCCCACTCTGCCTCGTTGTCAGCAGTAGCAGTGAATAACAGATATGTGGTCACTGGGAGCAGAGATGAGACAATCCAAATCTATGACATGAAAAAGAAGATAGAACATGGGGCGCTGCTACAGCACAATGGTAAGGGAGCATTTCTTTGTAAAAAGCATTAATGATATAAAATTGTAGCTGAAAAACCAGCCCTCACCAGAAGAAGAAAACTAATTCTTTTTTATAAGACTTCAATAGTGATGGTGTTGCAGCCATGATGGTCTGGTGATACAAACAAGGTGAACTTTTGAGCATAAAAGTAAAAAAATTATTTTGGATATTAATGCTGCCACAAATATAGCTGCTTCTTCCAACTATTTTTAGTTTTAACTGCTAAAAAAATTATGACCCACAAATGGCTCATGTGCCATTTTTCTTCTGTCAGGAAAGTTGCATGTGTGAGAGCAGGTTGCTGCTGCCAGATGAGTTAATGTGGTACATTTCCCACTGTATGTGCTGGCTGAATTATAGCCATGAAAGCACATCATTGAATCATAAAATAGTTTGGGTTGGAAGGGACCTTTTAAAGGTCATGTAGTCCAACCCTCTTGCATTGAGCAGGGACATCTTCAACCAGATCGGGTTACTTAGAGCCCCGACCGGTTTGGCCTTCAAGGTTTCCAGGGCTGGAGCATGGATCACCTCTCTAGGCAAACTGTTTCAATGTATCACTGCCCTCCTTGTAAAAACATTTCTTCCTTATATCTAATCTAAACTGACCCTTTTCAATTTAAAACTGTTACTCCTTGTCCTGTCACAACAGGCCCTGCTAAAAAGTTTGTGCCTATCTTTCTTACAAGCCCCCTTCAAGTGCTGGACGACCAAAGTAAGCTCTTCCTGCAGCCTTCTCTTCTCCCAGCTGAACAATTCTCATTCTCTCAGCCTTTCCTCACAGGAGAGGTGTTCCATCTCTCTAGTCATCTTCATGGCCCTCCTCTGGACTTGCTCCAAGAGGTTCACATCCGTCTTTTGTTGGGACCCCAGGGATGAATGCAGCACTCCAGGTGGGATCTCACCCGAGCTACGTAGAGGGACAGAATCCCCTCCCTCAACCTGCTGACCTTTTGATGCAGCCCAGGATACAATTGGCTTTCTGGGTTGGAAGCGCACATCGCTGGCTCATGTCCAGCCTCTCATCCACCAGCACGCCCAAGTACCTCTTGGCAGGGCTGCTCTTGATCTGTTCATCCCCCAGCTTGTATTGATACCAGGGCTTTCACGGTGCTTCGTGGAATCTCATGAGGTTCCCATGGGCCCACTTCTTGAGCTTGTCCAGGTTCCTCTGGATGGCATCACATCCTTCCTTACTTGGCTTGCTGTCGTCTTCAAACTTGCTGAGGGTGCACGCTTTGTCTATATAATTGGTACAGTCACCAGTTAATGGCTGTCCAAATAAACCTGTTTGGGTCATTTGTAGCTCAGTCTTGATGAGCTAAGAAGAACCTGGAGTTGGACTGGGCACAGTACCTGCATTTAACTCCTGTATGGTGAATCTGGTGCTTATGGGATGCAGTATGTGCATTAAATTCAGCTGTGTGTCAGGAGCAGCAGGGCTTTGATATGGCTGATAGGAGCCCCGTGTCACCTGTGCCACAGTGTTTGAGTACTGCTGTGTCAGAGGAAAGACCAGGTGGAGTTCAGACATGTATGGCTAAAGGATGACTGATAGAACACATCAGGGATTGAATGTAACAAGAAAATTTTAGGGTTTTGTGAAGAAATACTTAGGAAATAATTTAGATTTTCCCAAGGGTAGGGTAGTAGCTGCCATGTTTTGATGGAAAATGCTTTCCTGTTAATTCCAATGTTCTCTGTGCAATAACTGTTTGGTACGTACAACGTTGTTAATAGCTGTAGTTTGTATTTCTAGGTACAATAACTTGTTTGGAGTTCTATGGTACTTCACATCTCTTGAGTGGGGCTGAAGATGGACTCATTTGTATCTGGAACACAAAGAGATGGGAATGTCTGAAATCCATTAAGGCACATAAGTGAGTTTCTTAAATCTGTATATTCATGTACATTTTCATGTTTATTTTCCTTGTAAATAATACATGTGACTCGTTTTGTTTTTATCAGGGGGCAGGTGACATCGCTTTCTATTCATCCTTCCGGGAAATTAGCTTTGTCAGTTGGAACAGATAAAACTTTAAGGTGAGTCAAAACTGACGAAGGAATGTGGAGAATCATAATTCAGTAACTCTTAGTAAGGTATTACAAGCAACAATTCCATGTTGGGACTAGACCATGAAACACTGGCAAAACATATTTGTCATCAAATGGTTCAAAGATCCATTGGTTTGTCTTATGAAGTTTTAAGTACCAGCAATATTTTAAAGTCTTAAGAATGCTTCCTGCTGTTCATACTTTCCTCTTGTGAGCTCTGACTCTTTACAAGTCACTTGTAGATGTATAAATATATTTGCATTTTGGAACACAATTTGCTTAACCTTCTGGAAACTGTCAAGGTTCTGTTTAGTGTGAGGAAACTAATTTTTCACTTGGAGCGTGTCCATGTTGCTGTAGATATCTGTTTTAAAGATACAAAATTCTATTTTAACAGCACAAATTGCTATTGGGCTCCTTTTGGGCTCTGTATTGCAAATGGTGGTTTAGAAAATAAATAACGCAAATTCAACTCTATACTGTGCAAGCCATACATGAACTCATCATTTTCTCTTGCAATAAGAAGGTAGACAAATGCACAGAGATGCTTAAAAGCTTCCTTTGGGTACCTTATGTCAGCAGATCAGACTTAAATTTTGCTGTGCTGTTTTTAACCAGAATGCACATTATCTCTTGTTGTCTTTCAGAACTTGGAATCTTGTTGAAGGACGATCGGCCTTCATCAAAAATCTGAAGCAAAGTGAGTTTTTCAGTCTAAATCCAAATAAGGTGGAATTAGATAGTTTTATTTGTTGTGTAAAGAAAAGTAGACTGAATTAATCAACAAGTCAGTTAATTGCAAACAACTTTCACAATGTCTTTTTTACACATGTAGGCAAGCATGTGTAATTTTATATCCATAGTAATAATAATTTACCAAAAGGAAAACGTAGTATCACTAAAGTAATTTTTCCTTGAAATTTGATGTCAGAACATTTAAATAAATGTGTTTTGGTTTGTTTTTCTTTACACAAATCTGATAATCAGAAAAAAACATTTAAGAGCATAGTTTGACTTGTTTGTTCTAGGTTATTTGATTTTCCACTGAATATTCTCTCAGGTCTAGGTAGAAAACTGTCTAACAGCTTCTAAAGATTCTTACTTTTAGATTCTCGTGCAATATAGAGTGCAAAAAGTCAGTGTCTCTGTGTATACAGATGCGCACATAATTAAGTGGTCCCCTGATGGAGAGCGGTATGTGACCGTGATAACAAACAAAGTGGATATCTACAGACTTGACACAGCTTCAATCACTGGCACCATTACAACAGAGAGGAGAATTTCTTCACTTAGATTTATTACAGTAAGTACAAGAAAGAAAGGTGTTGGGAAATTAACTGGTTTGAAACACATGAAATTAATCACACTTGTATTTCTTTTTTTCCCATTCCTAGGATTCTATCCTTGCCATAGCTGGAGATGATGAAATTATAAGGTTCTATAGCTGCGACTCTCAAAAATGCCTGTGTGAATTTAAAGCTCATGAAAACAGGTATTCTATATTCATTTACTATTTAGATACTTAAGGCAATGCTGAGTCCTCAGTAAAGTTCAATGGCTTATAATGTTCAGCATATTTTACAATTGTTTTTGGTTTAGTATAGAGAGTGAATTTACTTATGTGCTAAATTTCAAATTGGACAGACCTATTTGCTTGTACTATGAGCACCAGTACTGTGCTGTCCATGCATGTTACAAAAACAACCAGGTATGTACTTAAAATCATTACTGTTCTAAGTTTATGAGTGAGTAAGTGTGTGTGTATTTAACCTGTCTTTACTGATTCTGATTCTTAAAAATGCTTTAAAAAAACAAACCAGTTTCATTCAATTCAAATAGGAGTGTAATCACATATTCTGTTATTGTTGAGTACCAAATATTTGTCCAAATATTGCTTTTAATTCATCAAAACACAAAAGCTTTAGCAGTAATGTCATTGGTGTGTCTAATAGAGGATATTTTAAAGTAATAAAGCATTCTGAATTGAATCTTAATTAGCCTAGCAAAGGCAAATGTTCCTAATATAAATGACAGCACTCAAACCAGATCACTGTTACAAGTTCCTGCCTGTCACTCGTGGGTTTTTGTTCTAACCGATTTTTTAAACTGTTGCCTATTCATCTTTCATTTTTGTCAGCTTACTGTTCTGAAGTGAACTGCCACGCTATAAAATAGAAACATATTACTTTTCTTTTCACAGAATAAAAGATATTTATACTTTTGAAAGACAAGGACAGCATCTTATTGTTACTGCATCCAGTGATGGTTACATTAAAATGTGGAATCTGGATCTTGATAAGGTTGGTCTATTGACTGCTGGTTACATTTATGAAACATATCAGACAACCAAATTTGCAGACTGTTCTGTTATAAAGATTAATTTTAAATCACTGAGGAAATTTTACTTGAAATCTGGATGTCTTGATCTTCTTCCATGTTATGTTCAGTAGGTACATATACACATATATTTACGCACTTCTATATTTTTTTAGCTTTGTAGGGTTTTTTTAAACAAACTGTAAGTCTGATGATATTACGAGATCTCATCTCCTCTTCATATGTAAAGTCATGCTTCCCATCAGACTGTCCTGGCCAGGCCTATGGCTATCTAATCAGTTATATATGTCCTAAGGACTGCTGTGAATTTTTGTAATATTGATGACTATTGCTACTCTTTTAAAAACACAAACTCTATGGTTTGGGTCGGGGAGGGGGCAAGGAAGGTGGTCATTCATGTCAGGGGAGGAGCTTATCCTTCAGAAAAATTCAAACCCGTTACTGCACTGGGTACTTGTATTTCCTGTATTTTCAAGCAGTTCCCAGTAGCACAGTTCAACAAGGAATCGTGTCTATCTTTTAAGTTTACCATGTTTATTGTTTGCTCCTAAAATCACAAATAGATTTTTTAAAATTTAATGCCTAGTAATGAAGGATCTACTATTTTTCACTCCAAGTATCTTGAATAGTTCAAATAATTATTTCTCAACGTTTATATGCTTCATATCTGAATTTGCCCATTTTTAATTTTACTCTGATTATTTTTATACTTCTAAGTGCAATAGTGAAATCCCTCTTTTCCCGTCTACAAATTTCTGTTCCCCTTGTTTCTGTTCCCCATAATCGACATAGTGATCAGGAAATTCTTTACTTTTCTCTGTAACACTGTATTTATTTTGACCAAATCTGTGCTGATTTGCTTTCTGTCCAGGCAGAGTTTTGTATAACTTTGTGGGCTGCTCTGTCCAGCTCTGTGATGTACAATATCCTAATACAAAAGTTTCTGATGTGTTAATGGTGTTAACGTTGTGACACTTTATCGCCTGATATCTGTAATAGGATATTTTCTCAAGTACTCCCCAGAGCGATACAATTGAGTGATACAATTGAGTGATACAATTGCCTAACAATGAAGTGGAAAGTACTTTCTCACTTCAAAACTTTAGTAAATTTAAACAGAAATAAAATAATGTGTAAATAATATTATTTAATGTTTTCTTCAGATTAAAGATGTGCCATCTTTACTGTGTGAAGTCAATACCAAAGCTAGGCTGACATGTCTTGCAGTATGGCTTGACCGAGCTTCAGAAATGAAAGAAAACTCTGATAAAGCTGCAACATCATCTCAAGGTAACAGAACTGTGTGTATTTTCAACTGTTAATGTGACAGTTAAATGGAATATACTAAGTAGGAGGTTTCTACTATATGCATTGGAAAAAGTTTTGGTATTTTGAAGAACTGTGGAGATGACACTGGCAAGTGATACAGATATACTTACCAATCTGATAGTGTCTCAATCCTGTATGTTTGTTGGAGGACATAAGCCTCTTTTCACTTTTATTAAAGCTTTCTTTCTCTTTACTGGAATAACATACTGAGGAAGTCACTGTGAAGCTTTTGAGACAGATAAGAAAATCAGTAGTTTGACAGAACTGCATGTCTTGTTTTCCTATACAGAAAATTAGGTCTGAGGCCATTGTAGCTGGGCAAGCTTACAAGGTCTGACTCCGATTTGTTTGGGGTTTTTGCAGTTGTTTTCCTGTATTGTTATCTATTTACATACTTGATCTTTAGATATTTTAATTTCACAGGCAAAACTAGCATAAATGGCACTTTCCACTGTAAAATAAAAAACTATAACCCTTTTTTTAAATGAGATACAAATAAGTCTCTGTGCCATTTAGACTTCAAAGACAGGACATAAAAATCAGTGTGAATAATTTCTTGCTTTTTTTCAGAAAAAGAAGATGAAAAATCATCAATAGTCAGGAAAAACAAAGCTTGTTGGACTGATACAAGTGATAAAACAGCAAAAAAAAAGAGAAAAATTATTCCTGAGAAACAAAAATTGGAAGCTCCATTGCAAAAGAAGAAAAAGAAACGAAATAGCCCGGCATGAAGGCAGCTTCATTCTCTCCTGTATGAAAGTAAATGCTGGTGTTGCTCTAGTTTTTATAAGAATGTAAACCTCTAACAGACCATACACCTCTGAACTGATCGGTTGTTTAAAAGTAATTAATGTTCTTACCCTAACAAAAGAAAGAGCAACTTTTCCTAAGTGAAGGAGGCAAAAATAAATTTATAATATATAATGTTTATATTTTTCTCTTAAAAGTAACGTACACTTTTTAACTGGTTCTGAAAAAGGCAGGTAAAGTAATAAAAATAGCTGTATCTGTCTCAGATACATTTTTGTCTTCACTTCCATGCATATTAAAAACATGTATACTTTTCATTTTGGTGTTGAAAAAGTTACTGTTTATTTGACTCAAAGTATGATCTTCCTTTGTCTTGCATTACTGTATGATGATCACATTCAGAGGAAACCATACTTTCTAATTCTTGATGTAGACTTACACTTAGAAATGTTACACATGTTTATAAGCAAAATGTTTGGCTTCTTTACCATGTCCATACTTCATGTATTTAAGTTTTTTTTAAGTTTTTACACCCATGGTTCATATGATTGAAACCTTTTGCTTAGAATATGATACATATTTTTAGGTAGAAGACTTTATATCAATAGTTTTACCTTTTCCTTACTCTTTCAGTTGTGTTTTTTTCAAGTCCTTGATCTGAGCCATATTGTTAAATAAGAATTATATGACATTTGAAATTTTTGCCATGCTGATAAAATGTCACCTATCTGTTCTGTTTGCCCTTAAACAAAAACTGAATTCCTGACCTTATCAGTCAGTGGGAACAGGATTTTATCCTAAGCCTTATTACAAATATACAGTGGGAAAAACAAAGTTGAGCTGGAGTGAACGAGGTCAAATAGCTGTACTAAATGTTCCCTTTCTTTATTTTAAAGTGTAAAGCATGATAGTGTTGTTTTCTGCACTACCACAGTAGTCGTTATTTCTTCTGCTTTCAAAGAATAATTGGAATTATGCTTTATTCTGATTCACTTCAGTAATAATCTGTTCCTCCTTATTTGTGTAGCAAGAGAAGAAGTAGAGAAAATCAGAAAAAAGATTGAGCCATATCTGGAGATAGGAATGCAGGCTGGTTTAGGGTTGTAAAATAGAATATAATTGCAGTTCAGCTCCGTGTATGCTCTGACACTCAAACAAAGTGAGCATCATCAGTGCTGTTACGCAATTGTTCCTCTGGCAATGGCAGTATTCTCTTGGAAGTGGGCATCTGTATTTACCTTCTGTAACTGCTTTCCTTATTTAGATTTGGATATTCAATATAGTTGATTTATGTGAGCTCAGTTAAATTCAACATTAAAGGTATTTAGTTTGAGCTTACACAGCTTTTAGTTTTAATGATACCTGAAATGTTTGTGTTCACAAACACAGGCAAATAATGTAGGACTTTAAAGGGTTTGTAGTCTTGACAGAAAAGTACCAAAACAGATTTTTAATTCATAAGGCCTCTATGATAAATATACAACTTACAAAGTATAAGCTTAAATAAGAGAACTGTGTAAAGTGCTTTCATCTGTAAAGTGTTATGTCTATTTGACATTGCTTATCTTATGTCCTTGACAAAATGGCTGCCACTACTAAACCAGTTTTTATTGTTTGGATTTTTAAAAACATGAGCTCATGGCCACAGACATCGCAATTGCAAAAGCAAGCTTGCATAAGCATCAGGAAAAACCCAGTCTGCACATAATTTTAAGAACTAAAAAGCAAAAATTCAACTGAATTTTGGTCCTAAAGTTTAGACTTGCAAGTAAATATTAGACATCTGTAAAAATGGAAACTCCTTGTGTAGTAACAAAGAATTATGCATCTCATGAGACTTAGAACCATTTGGGAACTGGAGACAGTGAAAAACAGTCCTAACAGCTTTTAAAGTGAAATACAGAAACAGTCCTTAGCGGAGAACTCATTTTTTCTGTACCTTGAGTGAATGCTCTGCTACTAACCAGTACTTGGCAATTTTTTATTGTCATTGTTGTTTCCTTGTGAACATCTTCCTTTCCAGCACATTCTTTATTCTAGTTTTCAGGGAACTGCTTAGAATGGTAGAGGCAGCAGTGCCGAGAGAGATGTCAGCAGTGAGAAATCTGTCCCTGTCAGAAAGGGTGACTGTGCATGACACTGGTAGAGTAGATGGAGCCATAGCTGCAAGAAACAACAGCCTAGCAAGCAGCATCTGAGATGACCCCCAGGTGAGTTCAATAGCTCCAGCAGCTGTGGATTTCTTCCAGTTTTCCTGCTTCCTCCTTTTGGGGAACCCCTGTCCTGGATTACAAAGCAGAGCCCAGTGAAGCTTGAACCTCATAGCTATCACACAGCTTGAATTGAAAAGGGAACCCCATCTAGTGTAGTTTAGATATGTGTTGGTTGTGGCATTTTCCAGGGAGAGAGGAGGTTTTTTAAATCACTTAGGAGGTTATTTAAATCACTTAGGCCAACAAAGGAATTAAACTGCTCCCTCATTTATGAACATTAGTCTAATTCATAAAGATGGAAAAGTTTGAAATGCAGCTGAAGAAAGCTGCATTTTGCAGAAAGTATAGGCCTGTTATGTTTTGTGTCTTCTATTATGAAGAGTAACTCCTCAGCTCAGGACCTGGGTAGAGGAGTGCTTTTTCTTTCTATATATATGGTTAAATGTCCATAGGAGATAAGTGCATGGACAACTGGAATAAATCATGCAGTACCACTTATGTGAAGAAAGCCAGTTTGAGCACTTGGAAAAGACAAAGGCTTTATCTTTGTAGGCAGTTATAAACATCTCTACATTTTTTCCAGATTAAAAAAACCCACAACATTTTCTTTACAAGATGTTTTCCATCTCCCACTGTTGCATAGCTTCTAAAGCAGAAGACTCCTTTTCTTGTTGCACTCGCTTACAGTTTAAAGGTTGTGGAAATCCTCTACATCTTCCATGAAGGAGCTATACTGAAATTACGGATCAAAGCAAGAAGCAGCGTGTAGGTTGCCTGGAGTTGTGTGGCTCATGCCACACCAGAACCCGGCCCCAAGCACTCAGCTGTGCCACATAACCCCATTTCTGGAATAGGGCCAGGAGGGATTGGGTGCACAGGACTGCTGCTATGCCCCTCACCGAGCAAGAGCACAAAACCTGGTCTGCACTGAAGTCTCTCCTCATTTATAGGCACCAGGGCTTGCCCGGGCATCCTCGACATCCCCCTCCCGTCGTGCCGGGGCAGTTCCCGGGAGCTCCGCAGGTAGGTGGGAAGACACCACCGCCTTCTCCTCCTCAACCCCGGGACGTGGGACCCACCCTACCCTTCCTCTTGGGTAGGTTTTTGTTTGGTTGGTGTGTTTTTGCGTTTGGGATTTTTAACCCCTTCTCCCAGAAGTGCCGGAAAAGGGAAGTTTTGGGCGGTGCGTGGCTCCTTCACCTCCCCTTCCGCCGCCTGCTCCGCCTCCAGTTGCTGCGGAGCGGGGCCGTCGGGCAGGTGAGACCCCGCAGCATCCCTGTCACCCCCAGGGCTGCCTTCCCAACGAGTCGGGTTTCCTCTCCTGGGTTCAGGGCTTAGGCTTTAGGCAGGCCTCGCTCCTAGAAAAGCCTGCCCCGGCAAAATGCTTCTTCCCTCCCCTTCTGCCCTCCCTCCCCCCCCAAAAAATAAAAAGGTTAAGAGATGCTGATGGATTTTCTGTTCCAGTTTTCGGCATGGCAGTGGACTGGTTCGGCTTTGGCTACGCCGCCCTGGTGACATCAGGAGGGCTCATTGGCTATGCAAAAGCAGGTACGGACCAGAAAGATGCTTCCGTCTCCCATTCTGTCTTCCCCCTCCCTCCCCCCAATTACTTGGTGTGAGCTGGGCGGCTTTTTACGAAAGGCTTCTAGCTCGAAGTTGGCGCAGATGTGAAATTTATCGGTTTGTGCCATGTGCTGATAACTTGCTGCTCTTGGGGAGTGGTGGATTTTGGGTTGAGCTGGTGCTTTGGGCAGATAAGCCCACAATCTGCTTTCTGGTGGATGCTGATATCCTGCTTCTGCATTGTGCTCTTTGAGTGAACTGACATAAGTTTGCTTCAGAAAGGCTTTTCCCCTCCTGCTTAAAATACAAGCATTCTATAAGTGTTCTGTATCTTCAAGTGACATAAATCACAATTTTTTTCCCCCTTTGAGATTTATTCCCATTTTAATCTTTGACGATAACAGTATACTGCAAGCTGCAGAGAGTTTTCAGAAGGATCTTTTCTCCAAGCAGAGCTGAACAATCCAAATCAGTCCTTAAACTTGTTCCTTTTCTGGGCTCTGCATCATAAGCTTACCCTCCGGCCTACTGTTTTCATTTCCTGGCCTTTTCCTGTGTTAGCCCTCCTCCAGACAGAACTGAGGCTTAATTCCTGCAACACTGTCTCTTTCAACTTTGAAAATCCCTAAGCTGTCTTAGGTTTTATGATAGTAGAGGGCACTCCTGAAGTCGGTAAGAATCTTACCAGTAACTAATTGCATCTGTATTTCTCTGAGGCCATTATGGAATGGCAGGAGTCTTTCATGCCCTCTGGTCCCAGATGGGAGTACATGGTCATGCTGAGGCAAGGGAATCCAGGTCATAGGATTTTTGAAGGGGGAACAGAAACTCAGTTTCTGTTTTTTTCTGGAGAGAAAAAAAACGCATTATATCGTTACTAATAACTTGGAGAAACCAAAAGAAAATGGAACTTTCATCCGTAGACCTAAGATGATGATCTGATCTTTTCTTTTACAACCAGGTCTATTTACCCACACAGACAATAGACAGCAGTAGGTGCCTTGGAAAGAGTATGAGAACAGAGCAATCAAAGGGAGATTGATTGATTGATTGATTGATTCATAGTTTTTCTGTCTTCATTTAGTAAGTTCTCTGGGTCCTTGTGTTTTGAGACTCAGGAACTTCTTGAGCCAGAGGTGATGTGTTTGTCCTAGTAAGTGTATGTGTCATAGCTGCTTAATGCCTCGAGGTAAAATTCATGGATATGGTGGATGTTTCTTGACTCCCAGGCTTGTGGAAAGAATTGTATCTACCACATGTTGATTACTAAACTGTATTATGTACAAAGCAGCCACTTATTACAGTGTGCATCTTTTCCTTGCACGTGTACAAGAATATCAGGTGCTTTCTATCATTTTTACCTCATGCTTTTTTATACCAAAAGTAGGATCTAAAGCAATATTACAGCAACCTTGTTGATGACTGAAAAGTGATTACTTTCTGGCAGCAATATGCAGTCCTCCTGTAACACTGAGAGATCTTTCTCAGCTTAGCTTTTTGTTCTCAAGTCTTTTAAAGGTGACCTGAAAAGTGAAATATAAAAAGAACCACCCTCAGTAACATTAAGTCCTTAATTCTCCATGAGCCGTATTGAGGATATTCACCACTCACAATGGTCATGCCACTTCATTACTTGGTGTGTTCTATAAATCAACTTAAATGTGGTATCCTTTATTTTCTGGTAGCTTTGTACCAAGGACTTGTTTCAAAGTTTAGGTTAGTCCAGGGAACCTTCTTCCAAAATCTGCAGTTACCTTTGGATCAGATCTCAGGTGTATTTAAGAGATATGATCTCCATTATTCAATTCCACCTTCCTCTTTGGCAACTCCTTATTTATCTGAATGCCCTCCTGCCCAATTCAGTCCACATATCCTTTTTTCCCACTCTTAAATCCTTACTATTTAATCCATCTACTTTACTGCCTCTCTAGAAATTTTGATATTACTGTTTTGAAACAACATGCTTCAGTTTGCACAAGGAAAACACCAATTCTTTTGTTTTTATCACAGTTCTTTCCACCATAAATATATTAATGGCTTTGCTGTTGAAGAACTAAATGCTAATGCTATTTGTATCTTATGCAAGAGTATTTCAGCTGGGTTTTGGTGCTGATCAACATGGTCTCAATATCCTAAAAGGAAAAAAACCCTTCTCTAATCTTCCTTATAACAATGATTAATGAATGCCTTTTTTTTTTTTTTTGGTTGTTATTGCTGATGTTTTACAAAACAGATAAGCTGATGAGCAAGTTCATTTTTAAGTTTCTAATAAATGCATTATCTTTTACTTATTCAGGTAGTGTTCCATCACTAGCTGCTGGCCTTTTCTTTGGGGGTTTGGCTGGACTGGGTGCTTATCAGCTCTCACAGAATCCAAGTAATATTTGGCTTTCTCTGAGTAAGTAATTTAAAATTTTACTTAGAAGGGATTATACTTACCCTTAAATAACTGGATATTTAAAATTAGTTCCTAAAAGTCTTTTCAGAAGAGTTAAATGGATGGTGTTACATATCTAATTTCAGTCCAGTCTTTAAACTTCACTGCACCAGTGGCTGCCAACATTCATCTGTCTGGTACTGATGTGTTTGAGGGATTGTAGTGCTAGGAAAGTGTTAGTAAATTGATGTCTGACCTCTCTGTGTCCTCTTTCTGACTGAATCCTACCTTGAGCATCCCACAGTAGGCTGGAGCATTTGGGGAAGTGGGATTCCCCTGTAGACTGCCTGTACTACTAGCAGGTTATTTTATTACCACTGAGAAGGACAGAGAATTGTGATTGGCTCATTTTTATATATGACAAATATGTGGAATGACAAAGGTGTTGCATGCCTGGGGTGATTTAACAGAAAAGTAAGCTTCAGTAATGCAGCTGATTCTTCCTTCTTCTCAGAATCGGAGCTTCCCTTCCTCCTGATTTGAGAAGCTGACTGTGGAGAGTTACTGCTTAGCCAGTGTTTAAAGACCTGACACCGACTACAGCATTTTTTCACTGAAGTGGTGACATAGCATCTGGCTCTTTGGTATATGAAAGTCAGGAGTGAAAGGGGAAGGCCCAGCATTTCTCTCCATTTCAGTTGTGTTCACAGGCAGTCCTGTTTGCAGGCTTCCACATCTACTGGACAGGCCAAAAGCTGTGCGTGGTCAAGCCTAAGTAACTGGAATAAACTGCAAATACAGCAAGCTTAAGAAAAGTGATACCAAGTGTTTTCCCGGTTGTCAGAGGCAGTCAGATACATTCCTCTAACTCAGTAGCATATGAAGTCTTTTCCTCTGAAGTTTTTGGAGAAGGTGTGTTCAATTCTGCTTTAGACAAAGTTACATTGTGAGTTGTGCATATTTTGAAGACTGCCTCCTAATTAGAGCTTGAAGCATTTGAATACTAAAATATTTTAGTTTTATCGTGTGTCAGACTGTGATCCCAGTCTCATATATTTCCTTACATGAGATTACTAGACGTCAGTGACAGTATTTGGAGTGGTGTTAGGGAAGGGGCATGCCATGGCTAGGACTGAAGATGAGCTGGGTCCTGCAGGACCAGTCATCACGTAGAAACAATGATAGAAGATAAAAGAGTTGGAACATATCGTGCGTAGCTGTCACCACTGGGTAGCAGGTGCATGCTAATGCTGAGGATTTCATCAATATGTTTTTCTTACAGTTTTCTTAGTATTCAGTCTGTCTTTGATATACAGTGTTCAGGGACTGCTCTTTCTATTTTACTGCCTCAGTGAAACTACCTGGCTCCTGTCTCTTTCTCAAGTGGTCAGGGACAGTAGATTTAAGTCTCATCTTAGTGGAAGGAGGTGCAGGACTGAAATGGCTTGGTAATGCATAGCACACTTCCCTTTTGAAGTCTTTTGAAACATAAATTAGTTCATTCTCAGAACATTACTACAAGTTAGACATGAAAACACTCCCTCCCTTTTATGAGAAGTGGGGGAATTACGTGCACAAGTTTAGTGATTTGCCTGTGCACGAGGAAGGAGTGAGCAGTGTAGCATAAATTATATCCAGCCTCAAAAAGTGCACATTTTGCAAAAAGAAATCTGAGGCTTGTGTGCAGAACCATATGGAGTGCGCTGTCTGCTAGAACTTGATGTAGAATACTATTTACATACTGAGGCGTTCCAAAATTTACACAATTTATTAACTCTCTTAGTCCACCAAGTGAAATAACCATTTCACTTTTTACTCGGTGCTACTACTTCTCACTGTTCTGTTAGTTTTTAATTCTATTATGTCTGTCACATGCATGTATCTGCTGACTGGCTGTACAATCTCTCATTTAAGTTACATCTGGAACACTCTCTGCCATCATGGGAACAAGATTTTACAACTCCAGAAAATTCATGCCTGCGGGGCTAATTGCTGGTGTCAGGTACAACACAATATCTTTTTTTTTTTTTAACCTTCTATGTGTGATTTCTTATTTGCTTAATTAAACTGAAATGGAATGAGTCATATTTTATGTATCTTTTTTGTTCCTGTGTACCAGTTACATGAGAAGTATTTGGAAGTGTATTAACAAATCGTTGTTATTGTTTAATTATGTGTTTTTCCCCTTATGCAGTTTGCTAATGGTTGGAAGATTAGCACTGAAGATGTTGGAAAAGCCCCAGGAGAAGTAGCTGATCATTTTACAGCCTAATATTTGGATAAGGAAACCTGATAAAGAGGTTGCATAAATTCAGAAGCATGAAGATGGAACAATTTTCTATATCAAGACGTTTTTCCCCTTTTTTACATAAAGGGGAGTAGAATGATGGGACAGATAGTTTATAAGCATTTGTTTATATACATTTGTTTCAGTGATCAGGTAGACCTATTTGTGTCCAGAGAGAAATGGGTCCTGGGTTTGATTTTTCCAGATATGAATCAGTGTATTTTAACACTTTCAGTTTTTATTATTCTGCTGACATAAATGAAGCAGAGCAAACCTGTAACTAAGAAAATAACCACAGAAAGGCACCAGGAGTAATTTGCTAAATACAACAGTGTATCTCAAACCTTTTGTACTTAGTATTACAGCACGCTTTACCTGTTGCATCTGAGTTGATACACCACATCTGTATAACATCAAACAGATCTTACATTTTTATCCTGAAATGATGCTAAAATGTTGCTTTTGTACAAGTAAATTCTATTACAAACCTTTATTTGGTGTGGTTTTGTATCATTTCTGTGATTTGGGCATGGGGGATATTTTTTACCTTGTTTTCTTCTCAGTGGAAGTCTTTGCAGTGAACTCTTAGTATCCAAGCTCTTCCAAAATTACTTTATAAATGTGGGGGCAAAAGATTAAATTAGGGGCCTTAATTAACATTTTAATGTATTTCATATTGTAACCTCTCTTGTTTCCAGGCACTTAATCTGTAAATAACCTGATTGTGCAGGATGAATCTTCAGGGAGCAACACTAAAAACATGTAAAAGTGTATCTGAAATTCTAGTCCCAGTTAAATCGTAGTCTCTTTTGACCATACTGTAAGCAAAATCCAGCAGATGTTTCGTAATTACATTTTTATGTTTCTAAATCTCCCCATGTAATTGAATAGAAAATTCCATCCCTAATACAGAATTTTCTAGAGCCATTCAAGAATTAAAGACATTAGTGTCCTTTCTTCAGAGTGCTCATGCTTTTAGACTGATTGTTAGCTAATTCTAAAAGTTTTCTTTCCTATTTTTATTGTGTAGGTTTCAGTGTTTGGGTTTTTAGATTTCTCCACTGAGAGTTTGCAATTCATGTAAATTGAGATAATCACTTTTGCATTAAATTCACTGTGGCTGTGCCATGACTTCAGTGGAACTTCATGCTGTGAATCAGCTTCTATAGGGATGTAAATTTTGGGAAGTGATTTAGTTATTTTTAGGAAATCAATTGTTAAAATAATTCTTAAATTAAGGCTACTCTGTTTAAAGCACACTCTGAAAATAAAAATGTTAGTTTAATATTTCTTACAGTATCAGCTGTCAGCATAAGCTGAAATGAGTACAGATTTTTTAACAAGGTTCAGTAGCAGGAAACTGGTTTTACAATACACAGACTGGGTGATCAGAATTCAACAACTCGGAGTTTAATCATGCCTCCAGAACTTGAATACATGATAGAAATGGGAGAAGAAGAGAGTTATGTTTATCGAATCCTCGTTTCCCAGGTTGAAGATCCAGGCCCTCTATTGCACATCTACACGCCTGGTAGAAGTTTGGGTGGCAAGAGGATGTGTCAGGTGTTTCACCCCTCTCTTGAGGGCCTCACTCAGGACTAGAGGAGGGAATTTCCTATTTATTTTGGTAGCTAAATGATCTTTTAAAAGTAGGAGCTTGCCCTAAACTCTGTACTGGGGATGTATAAGGCTGTCTTTGTAATAGCAGGTCCTGAAGTCCTGGAAAGTGAGAGATGTTGGACTACCTTCAGCTCCTGCTCTGGAGAGGTTCAAGTTCCCTTCCCAGGAGAGTGCTCTTTGCCTCAGGCACAGGATATCCCACATGGAGGATATTACCTGGAGAAGCCACACCACAGGTGTGGAAAGACCTCAGAGTTCCTGGAACCTCCAGCAAAAGAAGCAATTATTTTTTAAGTCTTCTTTTAAAGCTAAATAGCAGCTGGTAAAAATACAGAAATGTCGTGAGGCTGAGAGATGGAACCCAGATTCCTCTCTGCCCCCGTGGAAAATCCAGTGGGACCACCCAAATTTCACCTATGGTATGTTTACTTCTGGCTAACCCTAAGTTCTCTGCAATTCAGGCTCTTACCTGTGGTGCCCCAGCTGCTGACAGTGGAGCAGCATCAGGCATGTACAGGCTTGGAATGTTGCAAAGTACACGGTGGAAAGCTGAGCAAATATTTTGGGGTGAGTGAAAATCTGGGACACTTGAGTGCCTCAAATGTGCCTTAGTCTTTACAGGTATAACACTGAGACCTCTAACACAGCAATAATGTACTGAGGCTGAATTGCATCACTTGAGTTGAGGGGAGGAAAAGCAGACTTTTTACTCACCCATTGATAGATGTCACACCCTAAGCCATTCTTCCAATTATTGTGACATTTGCAGGTAGCAAAAATCTTTTTAATTTAGTAGAGATCTGTACTATAGGGTAAGAATGTAAGTAGTGTTACACTAGTAGTGCAGACAACTGAGTTTTATGAACTAGCAAAGGAGAAGGGGAAAGGGATGGAAAATGTTTCAGCTGAAATGGTTTAGAAAGGAAGTAGTCATGTGCTGTCCTACTTTATCCCTTGTTCTAAGAATATGGTACAAGGCTGTTTTTAATGCAAAGCGAATCCCCAACTCTTGTTCTGCTTCAGGCTTCAAAAGTGCAATTTGCCATGTCCCAGTTCTGTCAGTCATTGTGCTGGGAGCTGTTGGCACTTCATCATCACAGGCTGAGGGTTGGTCTGTGCTGAAACTAATATGGCCTGAAGTATTACACAATTATCCCTTTGTGGTGTTAAAATTCCTGGCTTCTTGGCATTATAGTCATGCTTTCTGAGTGCACAGTTTAGTCACCTAGAAAAATGGGAGGGGGAAATAAAGGTCAGGAGAACCTCCAGGCACTTAGGAGGGGATAGTCTTTGTTCATTGAGAATCCCCTACAAGTAAAAATGGGAAAATCTTGTGTCAATAATGGTACAGAGGCTGCCTTCATCTCTTTTCCTGCTTCCTTGAAATGCTGCCACACTGGAACAGATCAAAGCCCTTATGGTTTTGTGCCCTATCCCCAGCTCAGTCCAGTGCATAAGTGACTTTGGGTGTTCACTTTAGTTTTTCTGTACTTCTCTCTCTGTGAAATAGAGATAACGTTTTCTGTATCCCTTCCCTGTCTGTGTTTTACATTGCTGTCTTACACAGCGTGTGGCATAACATGTTCCCTGCCCCAGAAGCAAGAATTGGTGGTTGGAATTCATACTGTTTTATTGCTGATAGTTAATACAGTCTGACCTTGGTTTAAGTTAATACTCTTAGAGAATACCTTGTGAGGAAAAAATAGGGTGCAACAAAAGTCTGTTCCTCTTCTTTTGTTTCATTTTATATTAGCATTTTCTAATATATTGCTACCCTATTTTGAGATCCTGTCCTGCAAGCACCATAACTAAGTGGAATTGAGTTTTAGTACTATTACTTAGAGGCATACTTAGAATATCCTGAGTTGGAAGTGAGCCGTGAGGATCACTGGGTCCAACTACTGACTCCGCAGAGGGCAACCTAAAAGTGAAACCATATATCTAAGAGTATTGTCCAAATGCTTATTGAACACCATCAGCTTTGGAACCATGACCCTGGGAGCTTGTTGCACTGCTTGACTACCCACACAGTGAAGATCACTGTCTTCCCCTTTTTTCCTTTTCTCCTGCTTTTTTTTTTTTTTAATTTTCTTATCTTTTTCTTTTTTCCTTTTTCTTTTTTTTTCCTACTTCTTTTTCCTGTTTCTTTTTTCCCTTTCTCTCTTTTGTTCCTTTTTTATTTTATCCCCCCCCCCTTTTTCCTTTCCCCTTTTTCCCCTCATTTCCCCTTTTTTCCCCCTCTTTTTGTCCTTTTCCCTTTTTTCCCTTGTTGTGGGTTGTTGTGGGTTTTCCCCCTCTTTCTTTCTTGGTTTATTTCTCTTGGTTTTTGGTTTTTTGTGGTTTTGATTATTGGTTGTTTTTTTTCCCCCTTGTTTGTTATTCAGTGGCTGCCTGTGCTGAGAACGCAGAGGTTTTGGAAGGCTCTCCAGCGCGGAGAGCCGAGAGAGGGCGGCAGCGCTGCTCCGAAGCGGCTGCCGCTCCGCCCGGCCAGCCGTCAGCCGGGGCAGAAAGGCACCCCACCCCGAGGGATGGAGACGAAGATAAATAATAATCAACCTGCTTCTAATTTAGGGTTTGCCCACTTGTAGTTACGTGACCTGGAACACCAGATATTGGAACAGCCAATGCTTGGCTCCCTCAGCCGAACAGGAGCGTCGCTGCTTTTATTGCCTTTGCGCTGGCCTGAGGAATGAAAGGGAATGGTCCTGGGGCAAAAGGCTTTTTTCATTGTGCATGCTATGCAATCGCTGGCTAGTGCTGCTAAGGATCTGATAATAATCACGTGAAGAATTAAAAATAAAACCCTTTTGCCCCTCTTTTTACACCCCCTGGAGGAAATCACTTATCTGTATTGGAAGATCAGCCCAGTCTTTTTCATCTATTTACAGCAAGAAACAACATCTGCAGGTTGCCAGCCTGACTCACAAGCAGAGGGGATTTGGCAGGACAGGCCTTCTTCTCTAAGCACTTTTAAGAAATACAAAAACATTACAGTTTGTAAGCTGTTGAGGTGTATGTATAATGAGGGAGAGGATGCTGGGTGCATTTCTTTGGAGGCAGTGCTCTTTCAGCAGTGGTACCACAATAGGAAATGGCTGGGATCAAATTATATGCTGTTACCTGAAGGCATCCCATCAGTAGGAGAGTTATTGGATGCGCTGAAATTCCTTCTGACCTCTCTGTTCCTCAATAAACCTGTGTGCAACTTCCTCTGGGGACGGGCCAAGTATTGTTCCATTAGTATGCAGCACCACAGACAGCAGGGCAGAAAAATACACACCAGGAGGAGAGAAAATAGATGAAAAGCAGCAGGAGCAAAGTAAACGCTTTTAAATTCTGAACTGAAATTTCCCTCCACTGAGGTTCCTGCTGGTCTGAGGTGTCGTGACAAGACCTAAAATATTCTGAGGTGAGAGGAATATTGGTCCACTTACTCAAGTTCTGTTTCTGTTAAAAATGAAGCCTAAACTAGGAGGTAGGGAAAATTTTTCATGGTGGGAGTAAGAACTCAAAAATCATGACAACAGACACAGAGTGACAATCCTAAAATCTTATGAAAATATTCTAATTCATAAAGCTGTTGGGAAAATGGTCATTCTGGTTCTCTGTAGTTACATATCCCTCCTGTTTAACAGTATGCTAGATGCTCCACTCTTCATTGTTTGTCCTATACTCAGCAACATCTTCAGTTCCCAGACACTACCTCACCTGGCAGCCCTGCAGCATTTACATCAGTTCAGGGCCTGTCGCCAGGTTTTCTCCTCCATATGCCACTATTGTTTCATCCGTGCCAAAAAAATAAGGACATTCTGTTCAACTTACTCCTATAAATATCATCTATATAAATTTTTTTTTAATATAAACTCATTTGTT